TGAGTATTTCAGGCCCCAACCCAAATTATAGAGCAAAATTTATCATTTTTTTACTGAGAAAATGTATTTAGTATGAATTTAATTTGAATCTAGCTAGTACAAATTTGCATATAGAAAAGTATATTTTATTTCCTATGGGAGGTGCCGATGAAACTAGTTATATGTGTTTGGAATCTATCTCAAGAAACTTGGAACTCTTGATTATCAGTTATTCTTGCTACTCCTAGTCAAGTGTAGGCTTACACCACACAGGGCAAATTTTAGCAGGTTTGAAAAACAATTCACAAGAAAAGAAGCTCGTGTGTGTCTTCCTTTAGCAATTGTCTAAATCATGGTTGCCTTTTTCTTTGTTAAATCACATTTCATTCTGCTCCCCTCTTTCCTTCTTCTTTTCTTTCATTCATGTACATGCTTACTAACCCCCTGATTAATGAATTAAAATCATCAATTAATGTAAGATATTATTTGCACTTCTAAACACAAAATTACACATGCAAGTATGTTTAAATTTAGGTTCCACGCAAAACCAAAGGTGCAAAACTGCAAACCAAGAAAGTGTACTGCATGCAAAAGATGTTTGCTCGCACACAAATAAGCGCGCAATTGCACAACTTACAAATGTATAATAAACAGAATTAAAACAAAATAGAAACATTCAAAAAGTATATTGTTAACAAAAATAACAATAAAACCCTTACAAATACAAATACAAAAGACTATGCTACATTTAATCGCAACAAACTAGTCTGATAAGAGTGCCCTGGACAAGGAATGCTAACTAAGGTTGTGGGTTCTAACTCTGGCGGACGCATGATTTCTCATTCCGGATTCTCAAAACAAGCAATTCTGCACAGATCTCCCGGATGCCTAAATGGCTCAGAAATTGACTGCATTATTTATAGCTTGTGAAGTAAATACATTATGGAAAACCATCGAATTCACTTTACTCTCTTTATTTGCATACCGATCTGGCGAAATGCAAACTCTGTTGAGCTCTTTAGTTGAACTGGCTTCTACCTTTCCAAACATTAGAGTTTTGTTTAGGTCGTAAAAAGAGTTTATCCTTTTTAGCAGCAAGTGTATTTTTATCTCTCTGACAAGTACACTTACTTAAACATTGTATAGGGAGAAATTAGTCGAATAGAGTGGATTCTTATTTGTCGGAGAACTTGAACACTCGTTAATTATATATTGATCGGTTAGGTAACTACCCATTTTAAAAGTTCTTTGCAAATTCAAATTTAGAAACCTGCACCTAGTAAGCTGCACATTTCTGGACTAAGGTTGCACACTTATTGTTTTTTTTACAGAAACACTTGATAGAATTGGAAGAAAAAAAATCGCTAGAGTCTGCGGAAAAAACACATTTGGGCCTATTTGCTTGGGATTAATGCCACATGCGTGGTTACTTGTGCATGCAGGGAGAATATCTGGTCTATGGGTGCTTGTGGTGCACTAAACTCTTGTAGTATATTTCAAAATGTATATTTTAAAAAAAAATTAGCATATTCACACGACATCAATGTATGTTGTAAAAAAATCAAAACAAAATTCAGAACATTGCTCGAAAAACCAAAAAGTCAAAATCGACACTGAATAGTACATAACATAAGTTAAGCTTTAGATTTGGCCCATTACAACATTAATGCCAAATTTGTCTTTTTGTATCTTGAGCAATGTCTCACATTTAAATATGAAATTTTGTGACAATATACATTGATGCTTTGTCAACCTGCTAGATGGTTTTCAGTTTTTACAAAGATTTATGTGCTACGGTATCCGGTGCACTGATAGCACCACAAATGTGAGTGCACAAGATACAATCCCCCGTGCATGGGCACATAAACTACAAAGTCATTTCGTTCATGATCCTATGGCGCGTGTCTGAGAGGATCTTTCTTTTTCTATGCCAGTATTAATTTCAGCTTCTTTAGTGAACTGTTTTCATTTGATCAACAAAGTTGGTGTTTTCTTTTCGAAAAAAAACAAAGTTGGTGTTTTGTTCCTACAAAATAAAAAGTTACGGTAGTGTTTTGTCTTTTACTCCTTCCGTTCCTAAATATTTGCCTTTCTAGAACAAGTGACTACATACGGAGCAAAATGAGTGAATCTACGCTCTAAAATATGTCTACATACATCCGTATGTGGTAGTCCATTTGAAATCTCAAAAAGACAAATATTTAGGAATGGGGGGAGTACTATATAAAGGGTACCGCGAGTTATCTTTCACACATGCATGTTTCTTATGTACAATGGATTGAATTTATGACTTTGTTAATTTCCATGAAAAAGAAAAAATCCCATACAATTCTCCAGATGAAATAATATAGTGTAGGAATTAGATGAGACTTGGTTATTTCTCTTCTATGATGAGAGCTAGACACCTTCTTGAATTTACGCATTTAGCCCGTTTGCAACACGGTTATTCACTTTGTTCGTTTCAGGAGTTGGCAAGGACGGCCTGATCCGCCACTTCTTCCACCGTCCATCAAAGGCGTATACGACGGGGACTAGGAAGCGGCGCAAGGTGCACACCGACGAGCAGGGCGGCGAGACGAGATGGCACAAAACGGGCAAGACCCGCCCCGTATTCACTGACGGCAAGCTCAAGGGGTACAAAAAGATCCTTGTCCTCTATACCAACTACGGCAAGCAGCGCAAGCCAGAGAAGACCAACTGGGTGATGCATCAATACCACCTAGGCTCCGATGAGGAGGAGAAGGATGGCGAGCTCGTCGTCTCCAAGGTGTTCTATCAGACGCAGCCACGGCAGTGCGGCGGCTCGACGGCTGCCGCTGTCAGGGACGCCGCCATCACAGCGGGCAATATCATCAAGGGTGGCGGTGCAGGTGCAACTAGTGATCATCACCGTCATCACCACGAGGATGGCCACAACAACAATATGCTGAAGGAAGCTGCAGGAATGGTAGATTTCTACAGCCCAACTGCTGCAGCACTAATCGGGTACAGCAGCCAGGCGGCTCCTCCTAACAACAGGGCGGCGGCCGCGGCTGCTGCTGCTTCTGCTCATTTGATGCCTAACTTCGAGGTGCACACGGGAGGGACGGGCTTTGGTCCCTGACCAAGAATTGCAAAGCCAACTAAAGCAAAGCAGTTCTATTCGTTGACTGATATATACTCTACTACTAGGTTAGAGGCCAGGAGACACGTACTGAGAGGATGGCAGGCAGATAAAATGGCACTGGCAGTGCGCGCGAAGCAGTTTCGAAACAGTACTACTGGACAATAAAAGTGTTGAGTGGCTGCACAGGTGATGAAGCGTAGGGATCAATCTTTGTTACATTGTTCATTATATACACATATATGTATACGTAACTTGACGTCTTAACGTACTCTCAAATTTTTGTTTAATGATCTGTTGTTCCGTAATAAGAATCATGTTTTCTTTTGAGGGAAAGAATAGTGAATTCTAATATGTATGTACCATGTTTTTTGCTAAAAGACATTTTTTTATTAACTCATAATGTTGTAAAGGAGAATATAAACATCATGAGTGCACACGCAGTTACAATGCACACGGTCAACACTAAAACAGACACAGGATATAGAATAAAACACGACCTCTAAAACTCTTGGATTGAACTACAACATGCAACATCAAGCATCAACAGACTGAGAAATGCATTTCAAACAACGACGCCCGCAACAAGTGAATGATGTGCCTGTGTCATTGTCACCAGATTAGAGCCGGTCCAGACATTTCAAGGGACTGGGGTGAAACTAGAAGGCAGGGAAGTTCCGATGACAAAAAGAGACATGACCTGCACCCAGGAGACTAAATGAAGCATCGCATGAGGCAATGCAATCTCGCTGTGGGCGTGTGTGCGCCCTAATGTGGCGTCCTGCCGCCTAGCTTGAGCGGCAACATTGTGTGCTACATTTTCTGCACAATATTATCTCTAATGCACCTAATTGTCGAGTACATTGTGTGCTACATTTTCTGCACAATATTTCTTAGTACTGTTTTGGTTGTACTATCTCGTATTACCTAACATGTATATGATGCACATTTTCTGCACAATATTATCTCAAATACACCTTTCTAGTAGAAATATAGTAAACTCATACTCCCTCCGTTCCTAAATATTTGTCATTTTAGAAATTTTAAATGGACTACCATATACGGATGTATATAAACATATTTTAAAGCATAGATTCACTCATTTTTATTTCGTATGTGGTCACTTGTTGAAATCTCTAAAAAGATAAATATTTAGGAACGGAGGGAGTAGAAACTAAGAAATTCAATCACTAATGTATTACAAAAAGTAGATTAGGTTCACAAAAGTACATACCTCTCATTTTTCTTGGCCCCTCATCACCTTCGGGAAGTGACTTGTTACATCATTGTGCTACATTATACTGTGATTACCTACCTAATCAGCAAGACAGCAAAGAGTTAATTAAGATTTAGACTGCGATACTTCTTTCAAGAAAATAGTAATACAAAAAAATTATGTTGGTATAATTATGCTACTTGTTTGCATCGTGATGTGTGGTGGTGGTGGGTGCATTGTTAAGCGTCGGTGCTATATATACATGGTTTTTAACCCCTTTCCGCGACGGCATTTGAAACCAACGCCAAGTGTGTGTGAATGATAGGGGAGTTCTTCCCACACAACCTAGAAACCGTCGGGGATAGGCCCTCCTGGCACACAGGCTGGGGCAAAATGAGCTCGCGTGTGATTGGACGAGGCATCGAAACCCAATCATCTCCGTTCGTATGTACATCTCACACGGTGAATCTCAGATAAACATTTCCGTTCGTATGTATATCACACACAGTCAATCAAACGAAGACGTTTCCGTTCTTACGTACATCCCACATAGTCAATTCAGGGAAAAACGTTTCCGTTCGTATGTACATCTCACACAGACGATCCAGGGAAAACGTTTCCGTTCGTATGTACATCCCACACAGTCAATTCTATAAAAACGTTTTCGTTCGTATGTACATCCCACACAGGTTTATGTATAGGCTCGTGTGTGATAGGTGTAACTATCTCACACCACTACTAGAGAAAACCTTACTAGTGGCGTTGATTTTTTACATACCAGTAGCGCGGGCACCCGCGCTACTGCTAAGGCGCTACAACTATTATTTAACAGTAGCGCGTTTCTAAACAAGCGATGCAGCTAAAATACTTAGTAGTAGCGCCTCTTTCTCTACCAACATACTACTATCATCACGTAGCAGTAGAGCCCTATTTTCTCCCCACGCTACAACTAGGTAAATAGAAATTAAAAATAATAAAAAGAAGTCAGATGCAATATTCATGGAAACCAAGACAAGTCCAGTGCAAATAAACTAAGTTCATAGAACCATCACACAAACATCAACGACAATACCACATTTAATATAACCATACAATCTCACAAACTCATATACACTAGTCAACAATGCATGGATAGATCATAGTTGATAAGTCTACTTGGTGGTCATCCTAGCACATATATGGTTCAGCAGCCACACGCGTGCATATGTAGTTCTAGATGATATCGATGACGATCATCATCCTCAAGCCTGGGCAGTGGGTGTTCCTGGTAGTAATTAGGATTGCCTGTTGATGTCTGCTACACAACCTTCTTCTTGTAGACGTTGTTGGGCCTCCAAGTGCAGAGGTTTGTAGAACAGTAGCAAATTTCCCTCAAGTGGATGACCTAAGGTTTACCAATCCGTGGGAGGCGTGGGATGAAGATGGTCTCTCTCAAACAACCCTGCAACCAAATAACAAAGAGTCTCTTGTGTCCCCAACACACCTAATACAATGGTAAATTGTATAGGTGCACTAGTTCGGCGAAGAGATGGTGATACAAGTGCAATATGGACTGTAGATATAGGTTTTTGTAATCTGAAAATATAAAAACAGCAAGGTAGCAAGTGGTAAAAGTGAGCGTAAACGGTATTGCAATGTGTTGAAACAAGTCATAGGGTTCATACTTTCACTAGTGCAAGTTCTCTCAACAATAATAACATAATTGGATCATATAACTATCCCTCAACATGCAACAAAGAGTCACTCCAAAGTCACTAATAGCGGAGAACAAACAAAGAGATTATTGTAGGGTAATAGGGTACGAAACTACCTCAAAGTTATCCTTCCTGATCGATCTATTCAAGAGTTCGTAGTAAAATAACACAAAACTATTCTTTCCATTCAATCTATCATAGAGTTCGTACTAGAATAACACCTTAAGACACAAATCAACCAAAACTCTAATGTCACCTAGATACTACAATGTCACCTCAAGTATCCGTGGGTATGATTATACGATATGCATCACACAATCTCAGATTCATCTATTCAACCAACACAAAGAACTTGAAAGAGTGCCCCAAAGTTTCCATCAGAGAGTCAAGACGAAAACGTGTGCCAACCCCTATGCATAAGTTCACGAGGTCGCGGAACTCGTAAGTTGATCACCAAAACATACATCAAGTGGATCACGTGATATCCCATTGTCACCACAGATAAGCACATGCAAGACATACATCAAGTTCTCAAATCCTTAAAGACTCAATCCGATAAGATAACTTCAAAGGGAAAACTCAATTCATCACAAGAGAGTAGAGGGGGAGAAACATCATAAGATCCAACTATAATAGCAAAGCTCGCGATACATCAAGATCGTGCCAAATCAAGAACACGAGAGAGAGAGAGAGAGAGAGATCAAGCACATAGCTACTGGTACATACCCCCAGCCCCGAGGGTGGACTACTCCCTCCTCGTCATGGAGAGCGCCTGGATGATGAAGATGGCCACCGAAGAGGGATTGCCCCCTCCGTCAGGGTGTCGGAACGGGTCTAGGTTGGTTTGCGGTGGCTACGGAGGCTTCTGGCGGCGGAACTCCCGATCTAGGTTATATTCTGAAGGTTTCATTATATGTAAGAGGTTTTGGCGTCGAAAACAAGTCAGGGGGGTCTTCGGGCTGTCCACGAGGTAGGGAGGCGCGCCCAGGGGGGTGGGCATGCCCCCCACCCTCGTGGGCGCCCGGGACTCTTCTGGCCCAACTCTTTTACTCCATGTCCTTCTTCTGGTACAAAAATAAGTTCCGTGAAGTTTCAGGTCAATTGGACTCCGTTTGGTTTTCCTTTTCTACGAAACTCAAAAACAAGGAAAAACAGAAACTGGCAATGGGCTCTAGGTTAATGGGTAGTCCCAAAAATCATATAAAATAACATATAAATGCATATAACACATCCAAGGTTGATAATATAATAGCATGAAACAATAAAAATTATAGATACGTTGGAGACGTATCAAGCATCCCCAAGCTTAATTCCTGCTCATCCTCGAGTAGGTAAATGATAAAAACAAAATTTTTGATGTGGAATGCTACCTAACATATTTATTCATGTAATTCTATTTATTGTGGCATGAATGTTTAGATTCATAAGATTCAAGACAAAAGTTTAATATTGACATAATAATAATAATAATAATAATAATAATAATAATAATAATAATAATAATAATAATAATACTTCAAGCATGCTAACAAAGTAATCATGTCTTCTCAAAATAACATGGCCAAAGAAAGCTATCCCTACAACATCATATAGTCTGGCTATGCTCTATCTTCATCACACAAAGTATTTAAATCATGCACAACCCCGATGACAAGCCAAGCAATTGTTTCATACTTTTGATGTTCTCAAACTTTTTCAATCTTCACGCAATACATGAGCGTGAGCCATGGACATAGCACTATAGGTGGAAAAAATGGTGGTTGTGGAGAAGACAAAAAGGAGAAGATAGTCTCACATCAACTAGGCGTATCAGCGTGCTATGGAGATGCCCATCAATAGATATCAATGTGTTTGAGTAGGGATTGCCATGCAACTGATGCACTAGAGCTATAAGTGAATGAAAGCTCAAAAAGAAACTAAGTGGGTGTGCATCCAACTTGCTTGCTCATGAAGACTTAGGGCATTTTGAGGAAGCCCATCATTGGAATATACAAGCCAAGTTCTATATTGTAAAATTCCCACTAGTATATGAAAGTGACAACATAGGAGACTCTCTATCACGAAGATCATGGTGCTACTTTGAAGCACAAGTGTGGTAAAAGGATAGTAACATTGTCCCTTCTCTCTTTTTCTCTCATTTTTTTGTGTTTTTGTGTTTTTTTGGGCATTCTCTTTTTATGGCCTCTTTTTTCTCTTTTTTTAT